GGGTGGGGCCCACCGGGGCAGCAACTGAGAGGAGAAAGAAATCCAATGTCAGAAGAGACAAAAGATTCATTCTAAAAAGTATCTTCCTGGGGCCGGCCCCATGGCCGAGTGGTTAAGTTCACACGCTCCACTTCAGCAGCCCAGGGTTTTGCCGGTTCGGATCCTGGACACGGACATGGCACTGCTCACCAGGTCATGTTGAGGCAGCATGCCATATAGCACAACCAGAGGCACTCACAACTGGAATACATAACTGTGTACTGGGGGGTGCTTTGCGGAGAAGAAAAAAAAAAAGATTGGTAACAGATGTTAGTGCAGGTGCCAATCTTTAAAAAAAAATCTTTTTTAAATAAATAAAAATTTTAAAAAATAAGAAGTATTTCCTTGCTAAAAGTCAGGGTGACGGTTACCCTTCGGGGGAGGGGTGGCTAGAAGGGAGCCTGGGAGGTCTCTTGGGGTGCTGGCAATGTTTTTCTTCTTGGTCAGGGTGCTGGTTGTATGGATGTGTTCACTTTATGAAACTTCATTGAACTGCAAACTTACGATACGTGTATTTTTTCTGTGATGTATACTTAAATACCAAAACTTTTAATCACCTTCCTTGCCTTTCCCTTCCATTTTCAGGGTCTTACCTCGAGGACCCAGGGGAGTGCGAACACCAATCTGGCCCAAGTCTTGTGGGGGCCGAGGGACTGGGGTGCCCATCTTGGCAATCTCCTGCTGCTGCCGCTCCTGCTCCAACAACACAGCTGCCTACACGAGGGAAGTGGGAGTGGAGACAAGGCTTGGAAATCCGTTTGGCAGGCAGCCCCTGGCCAATGCATTCTTTCAACCCGGTAACAGGCCCAAGAAGAATCAGGTACCACTCGAGTTCTGATGTCTCTGACACCCCCACACTTCCAGGCTACTGATCCAAATGGAGGAGCCCTCTTAATCACAAAGGAAAACCCCCAGAAGTAACACCAAGAAAAACCCTGGGAAACTGCTAGTTTCTAGCAGAGAATTTAATATTTAGCCAAACACTGCCTTTTATTTTTTAACAAGAGTTTTCTTCCCCAAGAGATAAAGTTATTTCTAAGGAACAATGAATTCTTTTCTGATATGTACCCCTCAAGATCTAGCACCACCTGAGCAAAGACAGTACTTCATAAACATTTCCATGTCTGCTGCTGCTAATGCTTATTTTCTAATACTCCTGAGTACCCACTGGGTAACAACCCATACAATGCACCTCTGGGCCTGCATGTCTTATGGATCATTCCCTATCTTATATCTATCACACTTAGTCTAAATCTGATTCAAATGACTAAATTAGCCCCGAGTCCTCTCCAAGATAACTAAAATGGTAACATGTAAGACTAGTAGGGGTCAGCAAACTTTTTTCTGTAATGGGCCAGACAATAAATATTTTAGGCTTCAGGAGCCATTGCACCAACTCTGTTGTATATTTTGGTTTTGTTTTCATTTTTTAACAATCCTTTAAAAACATAAAAAACATGGGGCTGGCCCAGTGGCACAGTGGTTAAGTTTGCACGTTCCGCTTTGGCGGCCCAGGGTTCGCCAGTTCGGATCCTGGATGTGGACATGGCACCACCTGGCAGGCCATGCTGTGGCAGGCGTCCCACATATAAAGTAGAGGAAGATGGGCACGGATGTTAGCTCAGGGCCAGTCTTCCTCAGCAAAAAGAGGAGGATTGACAGCAGATGTTAGCTCAGGGCTAATCTTCCTCAAAAAAATAAATAAATAAAAATAAAAACATAAAAACCATTCTTAGCTCACAGGACATAAAAAACAAGCCACAGTCCACAGTTTACCAACCCCTGGGCTACAGGAAAGAGAGAATTATTTAGGAGATACTGGAACTTAGTTGAGAATGAGGTAACCTCCACAGAAAACTTGAATGGTGCACCTTGTTTTAGACACCAAGCACTAGAAGTGACAGTCAACAGACTGGACCGTGGGGTCAAAAGGTTAGGATGAGGGGCATTACCCGCTTCTGCTGCTCCAAGAGCTCGTGTTCCTTCAGTGAATGATCCCCCTGCTTAAAAAAGAAAACAAGCTCATACCAGCACCAATACCCCTCAGGGCAGTCTGCCACAACTCTGCTTTCTGGGGTCCTCTTCCAGCCTAGGGCCTAAGATCCAGTCTTTGGTCCAGACCTTGCCAGAAGGTTTGGCTCCACAATCCAGCTCTCTCTGAGGCTCTACTCCCCCTTCAGGACCCTGATGAGACCCAGGCGCAGACTGCCACCTGGCCTACCTGCTTGGCACGCTCCTCTTGCTGCATCAGCAAGGCTGCCTGCTGCTGCGCCAGCTTCAGCCTCTCCTCCTCTGACAGTGCCACAGGCTCACCCACACGGAGTGGAGGCGGGGGCCCCAAGTTTGGTGGGCGGGGTCCAACTGCCATAGGAAAGCCAAGGCCAAGGCCTGGTGGAGGTGGTGGGGGTGGTGGAGGAGGTTGCAGAGGAGGGAGTCCCATAGGTGGTGGTGGCATGGGAATCCCAGAGAGCTGTGGAAAAAAATAGGACCATAAACTACGAAGTATTTATCTACTGCAGACATTTGCTAGGGATCTACTATGAGCCAGGTGCTGGACTTCAAAGTCAAATGACACACAGTTCTTGCACTCAAGAAAAGAATACTCTATAGCCATATCAAGAAAAGAGGATGTTAACTTTGGGACACCAACCAATGAAAGCTCTCTCTCCAGAAAAACATGAACTCAGACTTTGCATACAATTTCAGGAGATTCACGGACACCTCTAAAAACCATCTACAGACTCCTCATCCCCCACACAGAAGTCAAGGGACCCCAGGTCAGAGCCACTGCTCTAGAGAAAAAGAGTCAAATCCTGGATCAGAAAGGACATGGAAGTAGAGAGGACTTAAACAGGAGCCAGTGTGCCCCAATGACTCAGTAAATGTAGAAAGTATGAAATCAAAGCAGGGTGTGAGGGGCCGGCCCCGTGGCCGAGTGGTTAAGTTCGTGCGCTCTGCTGCAGGCGGCGCAGTGTTGCCTCGGTTCAAATCCTGGGCAGGGACATGGCACCATTCATCGAGCCACACTGAGGTGGCGTCCCACGTGCCACAACTAGAAGGACCCACAACTAAGAATATACAACTATGTACCGAACGGCTTTGGGGAGAAAAAGGAAAAAAATAAAAAATCTAAAAAAATAAAAATAAAAAATCAGGGTGTGAGCTCTAAGGTCTCACTGAATACATGGGAACTGTGCCCTGGAAGGGCAAAGAAGAGGGTGATTACTTCCAGCTGGCAAAGAATCAAGTCAGTCTTCCAAATATTAAACTGAATCTTAAGTGATAGAATTTGGAGGAGCAAACATTGGGAAAGGGGCAAGATCAGGACCATGGGGGAACTGAAGAGCTCCCATTCTGTCATCGCAGTACGCCCCTGCCCAACCTGCTAGTTGCATCCCCAGTACGCTGCATGTGAGAGAAGGGGCTACCCTGAGCAGAAGAGATCTTATAAAATGGAACAACCTCCTTACCTGTGCTGACATAGGAGGAGGGGCAGCTTTGTCCCCATCTTCACCTCTCAGAACCGGCCGATTCAGCACGATGCCAGTCTGCAAAAGAGAAAGGACTCTAGGTCAGTCCAAGAGGAGCTGTTCCATTAAACGCCGTTCATTCCCATCCATTCAACAAAATTTGCCCAGTGCCTGTCTGCCAGAGCTCGGGTTAGGCACCGGAGAGGACCAATACGCATAGAAGCGATTACAACAGAATAAGTAAAAGCAAAAACCGGCAAAAAGAGCAAGCCCCCACTTGCTATGCTGAGGTACATAAAGAACGAAGACCGCGTCGCGAGGGGTCATGAAGGCCTCCTCCAGAAGCTCGATCTATCCTGACGTCCCGCTGCCAACACTTACCTGGCGGGTGTAGGTCTGGAGCCGCTCCACCAGCTCCTCGCGACTCCCTGCTGGGCAAAGGACAGGATCAATGGGGTAGGGCAGGCCGTGCAGAACAAGCGGGCCTCGTCAGGCCCCAGCGGCCCGCCTCCGCCCCCCACCCCCGGGTCTCCGGGGTAACCGGCTCCGCTTCCCCGCAGGCCTACGCTGCCTGCTCTTGACCTCCCGTGCTTCTCACCCTGGATCGGAGCTCCGATCTCTGCCAATTTGGCCTGAAGCTCCTGGGCAGCCCAGGCGCCATAGTGCCCAGGAGGCGGCGGCGGCGGCAGCTGCAACTCTCCTTTGGGAGGCTCAGGATGCTCGGTCGCCATCTTAGCCGCAGGAAGGCGCGCGACCAACCCGGAAGCTCGGGCCAGTCGCAGGGCCAGCTTCCCGGAACTTCCGGCAGCGCCGTACGCCACGTCCGCTCGGGGGTTGGAAGGCCGTTCAGCTGGAGGCCCACCCCCGGCCTTCTGCGGCAATCCCTAGGCGGCCTGGTCGCGCAGCCTTCTGGGAGTTGTAGTATGCAGGCACGGCCTCTGTTGGTCCAATTCCCGGAGGACCGTGCGCGGCCAGAGGCCCGGGAACACTGGGGGCGGGAGCCGGGGCGGGGCTGCGGGGAAAGCTAGTCCCGCCCGGAGGGCGTGCTTTCTGCGTCTGATGGAGCGCAGGCTGCTAGCCTTCCGGGCCCGACTGCCTGCTTGGCCGTGAGAGGTCCGCACGCTTACGTTCCCAGGGAGTCCCCAGGGACTCATTCCCTCGGCGGCCGCGCGTTGCGGGCGCCAGGCGGGAGGTTGCAGCCGATGCCTGTGATAAAACAGTGTCTGATTGTCTGCCCGCCCACCCCCGGCCCGGGCAAGGATGAATGGGCTGAAAGGGGATCGGAGCCGGGAAAGGAGCGGACCCGCCCGGGCTGAGCTCCAGCCGCCAACCTGGGGGGAGGACCACACTAAAGCCCCTTTTTCCACCTTCCAGGCTGGCTCAAATGTCGTCTCCGCTCAGCCTTCTCCCGCTTTCCTTTCCTTCCTAGGCGTTCCCATAACACGTTCAAACCTCCACCAAATGCTTTGAAGTCTTGCCCCTCCTCCTCACCTCCATCCCCAAGAACGTGAGGAAGGACCTGGTCTTCTACTGTCTCGCAGCACCTGGCCTTCAAGAGGCGCTCAATAGAAGACTATTAGGGAAAAAAAGCAAGTGGAACAGTCTTTCCGGTGACAGGATTTGCGTCTTCTTTAGTCTTGGAAATAAACTCAGGACCTTTTCTTTTCTCATCCCCACCAGCCTACAGGCGGAGTCAACACTGCCTTGCGCCTCTTTGCCCCCACCAGTGGCCTGTGCCCCTGAGGGAGGGATGGGCAGGTGCCCTTGCCTGCCTAGCTTCCACCTCTCCCTGCCCTGCCCTGTCAATTCAGTTTCTCTCTCCACCTCTGCCACTAGCTCTGAGGTCCCTCTCCCATTCTAGCTCTGCCCTCTCACTGCCGGCCAGGCTCACTGCCTGTGTGAGTGTGTATGTGCGTGTTGGGTAAGAAAGCCAGGAAACTCAAGTGAAATGGTCTCTTTTTCCTCACACACCCACACCCTTCAGACCTGCTCTCTAGCATGCTCCATTTCACTGACTACCCCCAAGAGAGAAGTAGCTGGGAGCAGGGGGGGAAATGGGGTGCCAGATACAGAGAAGGTGAGGTTTAGGAGAGAGAGAAAAGGACTTGGCCACGAATGTTGCTCACATCCTAGCCCTGGCTAGGAAATTCTCTTCACTCCTCCCCAAACCTTGCCCCTACCCCTTCCATCACCACCACCATCCCAGTGTCCTGACACTCTCAGAGAAGAAACTAAACCCAGAAAGGACAGATGAAAGAACTGTGGCGCCCTCCCCTCCAGCTTGTCAGCCCACTCAGGCAGAACCATTCCTGACCCAAAGGAAGTGTCTTTCTGTTCCCTGTAACCAGAGAGCTGCTGGCAGGTCATCTGAGGCTGGAGGCCCCAAGGCATGTGAATATGCTGGAGACAGGGATGGAGGTCTCTGAGGCAGGATAAACTAAGAGCTTATGCATGAGGTAGGTAGGGGCAGAAAGGGACTAGGCCACATGGGGCCTCATTTTATCATAACATCCCTGGGACCCAGGCAGGGTAGGAGCCCCACACACACACTCCCATTGTGCAGAGGGGAAGACTGAGGGGCAAAATGAAGCTGATGTGCCCAAAGGGTCAAACTTGGACCACACGCTGTTTTCCTGACTCTGAGAGTCCTCATTCCTTCTCCTCTGTAACAAGGACCCTCACATAATACCTACCTGTGTAGGTGAAGAATGGAATCCAGTCCCAGCTTTGGGAGGCTTCCCCAGCTCCAGGACCCTTCCCATAGTAGGCCAAGAGGGCAGGAGAAAGCAGGGGTCCATGAGAACCCCAGAACTAAATGTGGGGCTCTTGGTGTCTGGCATGACTTTGGGAAGTGCTCCTGTCCAGCTCGCAGGTGGTAGAAGCTAAGGACTAAGAAGGAAGTCAAAAATTCAGGACCCCCCCTCCCCCCACCATGGGAGTTCACACAGAGCCTTCACAAGTATCATCTCTGCAGTCTCAGAACAGCTCCCCATTCTAGAGCTTGGAGCAACTGGGGCCCAGAGAGTTGCCTCTTGACTCTGGGACTGAAGTTCAACCAGGGTTGAACTTGGGTCCTCTGATTCCCAGTACAAGGTGCCTGGGCAGGGGTCCCAGGGCCACTAAAGCTCTGGTTGGAAGTGAGTGGGTCTGGAGTCCTGGGGGAGAGTAGGAGTGGGTCAGCAGCAGAGGGCTGCCTCAGGGGCTGGAAGGGAAGGGGTTCTCACGGGTGTGAAGGCAGATGGGACTAGACCAGCGAGTGGAGCTGTGCTTCTCCGCTGAAGGCTGAAAGAGGACAGGAGGGAGGGAGCATGCGGGTGCTGGTAAATGTGCCTGCGTCTCTAACTCCTCCAGGACCCACCAGCCCAAGATTGACCAGTGGGACCCATGAATGCCCAGCAATGCCAGAGTATCCAGATACCTTCTGAGCCTCAGTTTCCCCTTCTGTAGAGTGATGGCAAGGAGCTGGTCACGTTGGTGTCCAGTCTCTGCAAGATTGCCAAGGGAAGATGCCCGCATCCGAAGACGCCACCCGGAGAGTGTTAATTGGCAGCCTGCGAGTCAGGGCTGCCCCCTCCTCTTCCCGCTCCCCTCCCCCTCCCCTGCGCGGCCGGGCCCCCGCCCCCGCCCCCGCCCCGCCTCCGGTGTGCGATGGGGGGCGGGCGGCGGGCAGAGCGGAGAGGAGCGGAGCCGAGCGGACGCCGCCACCTGATCCCATCCAGGCGCGGAGAGGAAAGCGACAGGCACTCGGCGCGCAGGGCCCCCGGCGCCCTCGGACCCGCAGCGGATTTCGGGACAAGGGTTCGGAGAAAGCGGCGACCGGCGACCACCCCGGCAGAGCCCGCGCGCCGTGAGTACTGCAGTGGCTAGCCTGGGGCGGGGGTGGACCAGATCCGGATGGGGGATGAGGAGTGGGCGGGAGTGTCGTGCGGGCCTAGTGCCTGGAGAGCATGAGAAGGGGGGCGCTCTGTCCCCTGGGGAGTGGGTGAGAGGGAGAATCTGGGCTATCCCCTATGGTGACCAGATCCCTAGGGGAGGTTGGGATGAAATTGAGGGAATGGGGGGGGGGGGTAGTGATGGAGAGAGGAGGATGAAGGGAATTCAGAGGCAGGGATGACGTGCAGGGTGGATGGCAGAGAGAGGGGGCTGGTTGGGACCTGGCACAGGCTTTGGGACTTGGGGGGATAAGGAAAGAAAAGAGGGAGGTGGAAAGATATTTGATCTCCTGGGCCACTAATTTGCAGCCCCCTCAGCCCTCGGCCCCTTCCTCTGTAGTGCCCTAGGCAGTGTCCCTAATCAGTGGGCTGTGCCATCCTCAAGTAAGGAGGGAGTCTCCAGGTCATCCAACCTGGAGAGGCAGGTCCAGGCCAGAGTCCCCTCCTCCTCTAAATGCTCCAGTATTAGCCCTAGAGCTCCAGAGGGGAGAGAAAAAAGGGTTCATTTGGGAGTGGATGGGTGTCCAGGCCAGTTTTCAAAGCTCTGGCTAGCTATACCATTTCTTCTTTGGTTCCCTGGAGAAAGGAAAGCAATTTGCAAAACTGGGCAGCAGCCTGAGGTAGATTGTTCCGACTAAAATTAGCACTGATATTCTGATGAGGCTGGGCACCCTGACCTGTCTGGGACGCTGTTGGAAACTCTCTCTTCGTGGAGAAGACATGGGGGAGGCAGGGGAGTAGTCTGAAGCATGTGAGGGACAGGAGCTAGGGCAGTTGCTCTGAACCCAGACCCCAGCAGACTGCCACCCACTCTACACCAGCCTGGAAATTACAGGGGGAAACTCAGCCCCAGGGGCCCCCTTCCCGGGTGCCAGTGCCTTGACTCTATATGGAGAAGAGGCAGAGTGGAGTGAACTTGCCAAGGGAAGGGAGGCCTCCTCCAATGTCCGAGCAGCACCCTCTCTCGGGACCTGGAATGTCTAGCCTGGCCGAGTTCCCACCCAGAGGAGACAGGGTTACTGCTTTCAAATACCTGAGGGTCTGTCATGGAGAAAAATGGTCCATGTGGCCTAGGAGGGCAGCACAGCAACCATGCGGAGTGGAGGGTGGAAGAAGGCAAGCTGAGAAGGGCACACCAGCAGCAGGCTAATCCTAGCTGTCCCAGAAACAACTTTGGAAGAGCCACGGCTGCTCAGAAATGGACCGGGCTGGATCTGAAAGTGATGAGCATCCCGTCACTGACCGTGGCCCAACAGAAACTGGTGCCCACCTTGGAATGCTGGCGTCCAGGGAATTCTTGTGCCGATGACCCCCTGTTCCAAGCAGACCTCAGACAGGTCTGGCTGACTGGCTCCCTAGGGCTAAGCCATGGAGGGGAGTAGGATGGAGGGGGCCACCAAGCATCCCGTCACCTTCTCTTTATGGCCTGGTTGAAATGTCTCCCAGGGAAAGGCCCACTGTAGCTCCCTCCAGGCTTGGCCTCCTTGGCTGACCCACGGTCCTCTGAGAAAAAGGGTGGTTTCAGCAAGTTTAGCAAAGATGGGAATAGGCTGGCCCCCCAGCCTTGGGAAACTCTCCATTTGGTCACTACATCCTCTAGGCAGGATGAGTGACAAAGGGAAGGTGTGCATCGGCGGGGGGGGGGGGGGGGTTGGGCTTTCTCTGCTATGTCCTTGGTTGCCCTCTGTGGCAGGACCCTTCACCCTCCCTGGCTCCAAGCAGATTAAGTCTGTCTGTAGGCTGGTGGAGGAAACCAGGTGATGGGGCCTGGAGAGAAGGGAAAGGCATAACCAGGACATCTTTCCACCCAAACAGGTTTAAATGGAATCCAGGATTAATGGGGCGGGGGGGATTGGGAGCCAAGTCCAGGGCCCCAGAGGAAGGTGATGGTCAAAAGAGTTTTCAAATTACCTCACCCCTCCTGGGACGCAGGTGTCCTAGTTCCACGCACATGCCCATAAGGTTCTAGGCTCCCCCTCCCCTTTGGAGAGGGGTGTATGTGAGGCTGAGGCTGAAGCTGAAGCTGAACCTGAACCTGGAGGCTGAGGCCTCAGAGACAGAGACCCTATCTTAGCCGGGGAACAGGCATGGCTGCTGAAGTTGAATTTCCACTGAAGCTGCCAAGGGCCGGGCTACCCTTGAGCCAAGGCATTCGTGTGGGGACAGGTGACTGGCAGGAAACCAGGCCCTTCTCCTGCCTCTTGCTGCTGCCGCTCACCTGGGATGGAGGCCCACCTCCTCCTGGAGCTTCTCAGCAGGGCTACATGCAGGAGCCCCTCTGTACCGCCCCCACCCTCCTCCCAGGCTGCATCCCACTGCCTTGGCCAGGCACCTCTCACGCAGAGTCAGCTGCTGGGGCAGCCAGGGTTTCAGGTGTCTGGGGATAGAATCCAGATAGGTTCCAGGATTTCAAGTCCTTCCTTTCTTTCCTTCATGGATTTATTGGTCTTGGGCCCTCAAGGCAGGAGCCCAGCTAGGAGGGCTCAGGGCTCAGAGAGCAAGCTGAATTGCCAGAGTCCCGGGCAGGGATGAGGACATCAGTTCCCTGTGGAAGCAGCACACATAATGTCTAAGGGCATGGACTTTGGAGCCAGAAAGAGCAGATCTGAGTCCCGATTCTGCTAATGCCAGCTGTGTGACCAGAGACAAGTGGCGTTCTCTCTTAGAGCCTCAGTTTCCTTGTCTTTAAAAGGAGAATAATACCTATATTAGGGTTGTGGTGAGGATTAAATGGGATTAAATCTGTAACAGTGTAATACATGTAGTAAGCCTGAAGTATTGATCCCTTCCCTACGTCAGTGACTCGAGAAGGTGAAAGCTGGGTCAGTGTTTCCGAGGAACTCAGTCTCTGGGGAGCCAAGACCAACCATTGGCTGAAGCAGTCAGGCAAGGAGTCCTGGAGAAGAGCCTTCTGTGCTCCGAGCCAAGCCCTGGTGCTCAGGCAACTCTACTGGGGAGACAGATACAAATGGCCACGAGACAAAGATGAACTGGGGGCAGGCAGAGAAGCAGAGACAGGGCTCAGGGGAGGGCGTGGCTACAGCCTGAAGGGTTGGCCACACCCCAGAGCCTGTAATTCCACCCAAGACTAAGTTATCTGGAGCAATGTGGAGATAGGGTCTTGGTAACGGGAGGTAGGAATCTGATCTTCCTGGCCTCTTTGCTCACCTCACCCTCTGGAGCTCTCCTTTGCAGCAGTCCTGCTGGGGCCGGGAGCCCATCTCCTCTGCTCACTGCAAACCTGTTTGCCTCCTTCTTCTGCCAGGCCTCGTAGGAACACTGGCCCTGCTACCAGAGCCCCAGGAGCCCCCATGAGTGCCGGCGAAGGAAGTCCTGGATAGCGAGGCCCTGGCTGGTCCAGGGGTGGGTACCCCATCATGCCACCCATCCTCCAGCGCCTACAGCAGGCCACCAAGATGATGAGCCGAAGGAAAATCCTGCTGCTGGTGCTGGGGTGTAGCACCTTAAGCCTCCTCATCCACCAGGGGGCGCAGCTCAGCTGGTAAGGGGGCGGGGCCTCGGTGAGGGGGGCGGGGCCCAGGGAAATTGGGTTCCTCCAGCTACGGAGCAGGGAGCTCTCCTTCCCGTTCCTTCCACCTGCCAGAAGAGTCCACCTTCTGCTGGGCTTTGCTCCTTCCCTCTATTCTGAAAGTGATTTCCATACAGTCTCTTTAGATCCACACAACCTCCCTCAGCAGGGGCTGGTCTTCACTGAAAGAGCTGAGTGACTTGCTCCAGGTCAGAGAGTTAGTCAGTGACCAAGCAGGGATCCAGCCCGAGTCCTTCTCATGGCATCACCTTCCGAGCGCCTCCCCAAAGGACTGCAAACAACTGCTCACTCCTTCTGTTGTGCTGGGCAAATCCCCTCACTTCTCTGAGCCCCAGTTACTTCATCTATAAAATGGGAAGGATGGTATGTGTGACCCAGCCAGTCACCCTGATACAGGATATCATGTGATAACTAATAGGAGCCCTGACCCTGCTCCTGGCTCACTGTGAGAACTCAGCAAATCCCTGCACCCTTCAGGGCCTCAACTTCCCCATTTTCTACATGGTCTGCCCATGGGAATGGTGAGAATGAATGGGCCCGGTCCCCCTTGCCAGATGATTTGCTGGTCTTTAGAAGGTGCGTCTGTGCAGACTTTATCCTGAGCCCAAACCAGCCACAGATCAGAAATCTCAATGGTATTCTCAAAGCTGCTGGGAGTTGTCCTCATTATGTGATGCTTAGGATGACAGAAAAGAAACAGGAGAGTGACTGAAAAGTCTGAAGGGAACTGCAGGTCACCTGTAATCCCAAAACCCCTGTTTCAGGAACAAGGAAAGAGAAATGAAAGCTTCATGAAGGCTAGGATTATTATCTAGTTTTCATACAATCATAGTTCTTGAGCATAAAACAGTGCCTGGCCCATAGTAGATGCTCCAAAAATATTTGTTGAATGAATAAATGAGGCTCCAGAGGGCTTAACAGAATCGTATAACAAATGGGTTGCCTCAAAGCCATGCCACTCATCTACAACGTGAGGAGCCAGTGAAAGGGTAAAAATGAGAAATAAGACCGAGCAAGAGGATTTGGTGACTTTATCTGAGTTGCCAGACTTATGGAAATGATTTTTCTCCTTCTGGTCCTCAATTTCTCCATGTGTAGAGTAGAATTCCTCCAGGATCCCCAAGGGCCTTTGTCCATGTATTAGTTAGCTCTTTCTGCATAGCCAAGTTACCTCAAAACTTAGCAGCTCGAAACATCAAACATTTATTATCTCCCTTCTGTGGGTCAGGAATCCAGTTATGACTTATCTGGGTACCTCTGGCTCAAGGTCACTCCTGGGATTGTAATCAAGCTGGCTGCTGGGGATGCAGTCTCATCCAAAGGCTTGATTGCAAGGGCTTCGCCACTCATGTGGTTGTTGGCAGGCTTCAGTTCTTCAAGCAGGCTGATGGACTCAGGACCCAGTTCCCTGGGGGCTGCTGCCATCGGTACCTCCCTATGGGGTTGCTCATCAATAGCAGCTTGCTTCCCCTGCATGAGTTATCCTAGAGAGAGTGAGAGAGAGACACCAAGACAGAAGCCAGTCTTTTCATACTGCGATCTCACAAGTGACATCCCATCATTTCCACCCTATTCTATTCCTTAGCGGCATCAATAAGTCCCGCCCATACTCCAGAGGGGGGAAATACACAAGGGCCTGAGTACCAGGAGGCCAGCAGGGATCACTGGGGGTCATCTGAGAGGCCGCCTACCATACCCCTCTACTGTTCTGTGGGTAGAGCCCAGGAGGGGCCACATCCTTGGGCAGGGGTCCAGCTGCTCGCTCTCAACACCCTCCTCCCTGCACACCCCCTCCTCCCGCCCTTGCAGGTACCCTAAGCTGTTCCCTCTGAGCTGCCCGCCTCTGCGGGACTCTCCGCCGCGCCCCAAGCACATGACCGTGGCCTTCCTAAAGACGCACAAGACTGCGGGCACGACGGTGCAGAACATCCTGTTCCGCTTCGCCGAGCGCCACAACCTGACGGTGGCCCTGCCGCACCCGAGCTGCGAGCACCAGTTCTGCTACCCGCGCAACTTCTCGGCGCACTTCGTGCACCCGGCCACGCGGCCGCCGCACGTGCTGGCCAGCCACCTGCGCTTCAACCGCGCCGAGCTGGCGCGCCTCATGCCGCCCGGCACCGTCTACGTCACCATCCTGCGCGAGCCGGCCGCCATGTTCGAATCGCTCTTCAGCTACTACAACCAGTACTGCCCGGCCTTCCGGCGCGTGCCCAACGCGTCGCTCGAGGCCTTCCTGCGCGCGCCCGAGGCCTACTACCGCGCCGGCGAGCACTTCGCCATGTTCGCGCACAACACGCTGGCCTACGACCTGGGTGGCGACAACGAGCGCAGCCCGCGCGACGACGCCGCCTACCTGGCGGGCCTGATCCGCCAGGTGGAGGAGGTCTTCTCGCTGGTCATGATCGCCGAGTACTTCGACGAGTCGCTCGTGCTGCTGCGGCGCCTGCTCGCCTGGGACCTGGACGACGTGCTCTACGCCAAGCTCAACGCGCGCGCCGCCAGCTCGCGCCTGGCCGCCATCCCCGCCGCGCTGGGCCGGGCGGCGCGCGCCTGGAACGCGCTCGACGCCGGCCTCTACGACCACTTCAACGCCACCTTCTGGCGCCGCGTGGCCCGCGTCGGCCGCGCCTGCGTGGAGCGCGAGGCGCGCGAGCTGCGCGAGGCCCGCGAGCGCCTGCTGCGGCGCTGCTTCGGCGCCCAGCCGGTGCTGCGGCCCGCCACGCAGATCCGCACCAAGCAGCTGCAGCCGTGGCAGCCCAGCCGCAAGGTGGACATCATGGGCTACGACCTGCCCAGCGGCGGCGCCGGCCCGGCCACCGAGGCCTGCCTCAAGCTGGCCATGCCCGAGGTGCAGTACTCGAACTACCTGCTGCGCAAGCAGAAGCGCCGGGGCGGCGTGCGCGCCCGGCCCGAACCGGTCCTGGACAATCCTCCGCCTCGGCCCATCCGGGCTTTGCCGCGCGCCCCCCAGGTCCACTGAGCTCCGGGAGTCTGGGTCCTACCCTGCCCTCCCGAGTCTTGCCTAGGGCGTCCTCCAGGCCCCGCCCCATCAGGGCCCTTTCCTTCCGAGGAGCTTGAGCCCAGCGCCCTACTTGGGGGTGCGTCTCCCCATCTGAGCCCGCCTCCCTAGGGTGGTCTGAACCCCACCTTCGGGGAGGGTGCCCATAGGCCTGATCGAACCCCGGGCCACCCTCTTCTCCTTCCTAACTGGTTGGTGAGTTTGACTAGATGTCTGAGGCCCGTTCCAAAACTGCCCACCCTGCCTTTTACTGGGGGTTGAGGCCTCCACTTGGCTTTTCCAAACGGATAAGCCCAGGCCGCAGAGAGGGGCTGAGCCCTGGGGAAAGGCGGCTCTTCCTGTCAGCCTCCCTAGGATCTTGCTTCTCCTCCCAGGGATCAGAGGCCCCCACACCGTCTGTCTTCCAGGTTCCACCCTCCCCACAGACCTAAGCTACTCCCAGAGTCCCAGAACCAAGAGTTCTTGAGTTGGGCTTTTTTTCTTTTTTCTTTTTTTTGAGGAAGATTAGCCCTGAGCTAACTACTGCCTATCTTCCTCTTTTTGCTGAGGAAGAGTGGCCCTGAGCTAACGTCCATGCCCATCTTTCTCTATTTTATACGTGGGACGCCTACCACAGCATGGCTTTTGCCAAGCAGTGCCACGTCTGCACCCGGGATCTGAACCGGTGAACCCCGGGCTGCCAAGAAGTGGAACGTGTGCAGTTAACCGCTGCGCCACCGGGCCGGCCCCTGGTTTTTCTTTTTTTTAATAAAATATCTTTAAAATGTGCAGGTTGTATGTCAGTCATTGAAAGCCAGATTCCCCACGTTTGAGGCTGAGGCAGATGCCCGAGAATAGTTGTGGCTGTCACCATGAGGACGGGAAGCCAGCCTCAATCAAGCTCCTCCACTGCCCTTCCCAGAGGCTCACAGCTCTCATCAACCCGTTCATTGACTGGGCTCGCCAACACAGACTGGCCACCTCAGCGCACTCATTTACCTTTGAGAGAATCTAAATCCTTCCTTTTCCTTCAATTCAACATTTACTGAGAATCGTCTCTGTAATTTGGGGACACTGGTGAACAAAGCAGATAGGGTCTTTGTCCTCATGGAGCTCATGGGGAGACAGTGACGCGGGAGCAAGACATGTAAACACGGGAAGGACTGGAGGGGTTAGAGCATGACAGCACCTCCTGGGGCAGAGTGGAGGCAGAGGAGCGTCATTTCAGGTAAGGAGGTGCTTACTACCCTCTTGTGGGTCCTCGACTTCACCGCTGGCCTGCCTTCCCCATGAAGAGACAACCCTGACTCAGATGAGGGCCATTTCCTGCCCCTAACATCGTTTGCTCAGCAAGATACGCAGCACTTTCAAATGAAACCTCCCTTAAGACCAGCAGAGAATCAGGACTTTTTCTGTTCCTTTCTTCAGAGCTACATTGACATATCTGGACAAGTAAGAAAAGTTATAGCTAACATGGTCTATGTGTAAGGGCTTCACATACATTAACTTATGAGATAGGCATCATTTTTTTGGTGAGGGAACTGATGGGAGAGGTTAAGTGACACTTAGGGTCATATAGTTAGAACCCAGACAGTGTAGCTTCAGAGTCTGCTCCTAGGCCCTATCATCGTGTCATTCAAATAAAGAAGTTCCCATGCCCCAGGCTAGGCTGACCCCCAGGACCTTACCCCAAAAGAATGTCAACTGAAGAAACCAAGACATTGCTGTCAGCTCCTCTTTATTTTTCCTGGAGA